GCCCGGCCCGAGCGCTCGGAGGTGGGCGGGGGTTTGGCCGGCCCGGCCCGGCACTCCGGAGGTTTGGCCAGCCCGGCGAGGTGGTCTGGGAGGGCGGGGGTTTGGGCAGGCCCGACGTGGCACTCGGGGGGGCGGGGTTTCGGCGGCGCAGCGCTGGGAGCGGGGGTTCGGCAGCCCAGTGCGGCGCTCGGGGAGGCGGGGGTTTGGGCAGCCTGGCGCAACAATTGGGGTTTGGGCAGCCTGGCGCGGCGCTTGGCGCGGGGGGGGGTTGGTGGCCCGGCGCAGCACTGGGTCGGTGGCGCGGCACTCGGGGGGGGGTGTTACAGTGGGGCGGCGCTCTTCTTTTTTGCCTGGGGCGGCAAAAAATTTAGAGCTGGCCCTGTCTACAGCTCACTTCATTGGATGCATAGAATGGAACATATAATAAGGAGATGTATATAGAATTGGAAGGGACCTCAGGAGGTCATCTAGTCCAACCCCCTGCTCAAAGCAGGGCCAATCCCCAGACAGATTTTTACCCCAGTTCCCTAAATGGCCTCCTCAAGGATTGAGCTCACAAGCCTGGGTTTAGTAGGCCAATGCTCAAACCACTGAGCTATCCCTGCCCTCACCCACTACAGAGAACATGAAAAGGTGGGAGTTGCCCTACCAACTCTAAGAGGCTACTTAATTAAGATGAAGCTGTAGCCCACGAAAGCTTATGCTCAAATACATTTGTTAGTCTCTAAGGTGCCACAAGTACTCCTGTTCTTTTTGCTGATACAGACTAACACAGCTGCTCCTCTGAAACCAGTCATGATACTGAGGTTTGAAATGAAAACGTGTACATATCTATGTATACACATCAGAGTGTCACTCTGCTTTTTTCCTGATGCAAAACTTCTGCTGTATCCTGAGCTGTTGGACTGATTTTTTGATATAGTGGAGTAGCTATCGAAGGCATCACTTAACACCCAGATCTGGTCACTTTTGCTCTGATGTGGGGTGCTTTTTATGTCACAGCAGGTCAGAGTCCTGTCCCCCTATCACATATGTTTGCATTCTCAGAGATGCCTTGGTCCCTTTTTAAATGGTCATTGCCACTTGCTCTTTGGCAAGGTTGGTTTATATCCCATAAAAGACATAGAGGCACCAGTAGCCTGGCTGTGTCCCTAAGCCTCATCTTCCCCAGCCTTGCTAAGAGCTGTGGCTTGTCGTGGTAAATTATTTCTGATGAATAGGGCCCTTTTTTTTGGTCCAAGGCAATTAAGGCTCTGATGTTAAAATCAGACAGCTCTTGTGGAAAGTTACTACACACCACAGCAGGATTATTTTTGGTGATTTCAGGAGTCCTCCTCCTTTACGCTCTGTCCTGAATTTTGATCACCACCTGGATCTGCCACTTTTCCTCCCATGTTTAAATTAAACAGCTTTGCAAATAATATTTTCTACATTGCAAATAATTTGATCAAACTACCCTAAATATTTCAGAACAAGAGCAATTCTAAAACAGTTTGCTCCACCCAAATTCACTAGGCACTCGTGGCGGTGGTGGTAGTTTGCATCACAGTAGTGCCTCGACTGAGGTTGGGACCCATTTTAGATCTAACCTCTGTAGCTGTCATTTTCTGTATGTTTATACAGCACTTAATGCAATGCGGCCCAGACCTGGTTGGGCTGTCAGCACTACTGCTATATAAATGTTAAATAATAATAGTACTAGATACTGTACACACACACACACACAGAGAGACAGACACAAGACAAGGCAGCCAAATGAATTATTATTACCCTTCTTTTACAAATGGGGAGTTCAGACATAGGGAGACTAAATGAATTGCCAAAGGTGATTCTTGAAGGCTGTAGCAGAGCACAGAACTGAATACCAATCTCCTCAGTTTTACGCCAGTACCTTAACCACAAAGCCATTCTTCCTGGGCTTCCAACAGCTGTTTCGTTTGACCTGTAGATATTTGTGAATTTTATGTTTTGTCCATAGTTGACCACAGCTTTTTGTTCATTAGAAGCAAATGGGTTTTTATGACCAAGTAAAACTGAAAACGGGGTGAAAACTGAAAAGCTTTAATTTTGGCTATTAATCTTTTGTAATAATCTGTCAACGTGAAAGAAAAGGATGTAGGTTAATTTTGGTTTGCTTAAGACACTTTCAAGCATATGATAAATACCGTGAGCTTAAACTTCCTCACCTTACTCATGTGGTTAGTCTCATTTAAACAGGACAGATCCTCAGCTGGTAGAAATTGACATAGATCCATTGACTTTATTGGAGCAATGCCAGTTTACATCAGATGAGCATCATTTCACTTCAATGGGGCTACTCGAAGGATGGAGAGGATTTGGCTTTAAATGGGTTGTGCTAGTGTAAGTGAGGGCAGAACTTTATCACTCCATCAAGCAGTCACTTGCATTCCCCTTTTCTTGGCAGTTGTTAATATGGAAAGCAGGTCAATGCATCTGAGCACCTTGGTCCAGGAAGCCCAGCAGCGAGTGAGTGAGCTGTCTGCACAAGTGATGAGTGAAGGTCTTAGTATGGACAACACAGACAAAGAGAAGCAACTAAAAGCTTGGGAGTGGAGATACAGGCTATACAAGCGCATGAAAGCAGGCTATGAGCATGCCAGTAAGTAGAACCAAGGTGGTTATACACCTAAAAGGAATATGCTTTAAATAAGAATAATTTGCACTTGAGCAATTTTTTCTTTACAAAAATGCTCTTATCAGTCCTCCTGATGCCCCTGGGAAGCAGCTGAAGGTTATAGGTGGGGAAACTGGGGCACAGAAAGTAAGTGACCTTCCCAAAAGTGGAAAGGGAGTTGGTGCTAGAATTTGAGAGGCCCAATTATCCTGACAATTGCATGTGTACAGCTTCTACAGAATGGGAGTTGTGCACTCAAAACTGTTCAGATAATCAGACCCAAAAGTTCCTGGTACAATGTCTATTTCTTGCATCATTAAGCCTTCCCTTTACATTTCCGTTCTTCGAGGTTTCATTTAGTGTGATTAAAGATAGTTGTAAAATAGGGACATTTGAGGGAAAATGGGGCAAAAATTCAACCTTTCTATCATAATTTGAGAAAAAATGTGAACAATTCTGTGCGTGGTGAAACCCCAGAATGAAGTTTTCACACAGAAAATTGTGAGAAGTTAATCCTATTTGTTGGCATCAACAAAGAAAATGAGCCAATTTCAAAAATGTGGAACTTTTTAAGCCACTCTAAATGTGGTTCTGTGCAGAAAAGCCTACTGTGGCCCTTGGAGAGGAGTAGACTAGAGATTGAAGCTTCCGTTTGTATAAGCATTTAGATCTTTTGGCTGTAATACATTCAGTGACAAACAATCATTGTTACCATTAACATTTTTAGAATCGCCTTTCTAAAAATCTGTTTGCAAATAATTAACTTTATCTAAAGGGTATTGCACACCAAGAATACTCCTCTAAAGTATGTATGGTGTTCTCTGAGTTAGGATATGAGGAATACCACAAATGTAATGTTCATTACTTGCAATGACAAAATTGTAAATATATTAGGCCACATCCATAAGTGGTGTCAGTCAGGGTATCTTCATTGAATTCAATGGTGCTACACTGCTACCAGTAACCAGCTGAAGATCTGGCCCATCAGCCAGCATGTTATGTTACATGACAAGAGTTTGCTTAATGCCCTTATCCTAAATCAGATGTAAAAAGTTAGATAACTATATCATCTTCATCCACACCCAGCATGACCTCAGAATCATTTGCATGTTCAAAAGGATTGCCAGTTTTTCCTACAAACAATAGGTAATTAATTTGATTTCTGGACTGAATTACTCTTTGAACTGACCTATATGCTTTAAAGAGACTTCATGCCACAACACATTTTAGAATGACTATAGTGAAACATATACAAAGTAGCTGTTACAACCTGGGTGATTTCTTAACCAGAATAATGTAAAAATGTTTTTTCTGTCTTGTGATACATTTGAATCTGTTAGTGAAATCTTAATGATTTAATTAGCTCTTTGTGGTAGTTTTTGTCCCCTTTCTTTCCTCCCACCTACCCCAAAAGATTTATAGGGGCTTTTCATTGACATAATTAACATTATCCTGTTTTATTGGGTTACATAGGTACAGGAAGATATTTTTAACCCAAAGGAGCTGAAAACCATGATAGAAACAAATGGTGTCTGCAGGATATTGTTAGTTGGGGTACTAATTAAAATGTTCAAAAGGCAGGGAACACAAACACTTACGAACCAAAGCTCACAATTGCCGGGTGGTTTTCAGTTGGTTCTTTGAAGACACACAAACGTTGTTTGAATAGGATTTGTTGTGCTATGGACCTGATGTTTTTTCTTCTCTCCCAGGAGCCCCTGAGGCGCCAACCAATGTCTGTTTCATGGTAACAAGCAGCACATCACTCACTGTCACCTTCCAAGAACCTCTTAGCGTCAACTCGGCTGTAGTGACCAAATATAAAGGTACTGGATTTGGACATATTTCATTTACCTTTCTTAAGAGTGCACAGAAACGTTAGGGCTCAATCATGAGCTGTTTACTTGCAGAAAATATTTTGCTCTAAAAGCCTCATTTGGATAGAAATATTTCATTGGTTATCTGTGTATACATGAGAATGTTTTGGATGGGATTCCCTAATGAGACAGTAAGACAAAAAGACAGTTCACCCAAACCATTATCCATGGTGCCTTGAAGTTTGCTTGACTCATTGTGGTTAGAACATGGGATGAGCCAGCTTGAAAACATCAGCTAGCCTATGGGGCCTGTGGGCTTCTTAACAACCCTGTGTATCTTTGCCCAGGCCAAAGCCACACTGCCATCCCCTAAAGGAATGCTTCTGGAAGCTGAAGCTGCAGGCTATGGCTTCCCACAGCCCAGCTAATTAGCTGTTTCAGTGCCGCCACATAATTCCTGGAAGAGTATCACATTAGGGGTGGCACCCGTTACAGTCTTTAAAGTGGAATGAACAGAGAGAATACCTTTCTCTGAACAGTCCTGCTAAACACTCCGAGCATACGCAGCTCATCTGCATTGTTGTAATGAATATTAAATACAGTTCATGAGGTTGCGCAGAGGGGCTTAAGTATTTAAGACTTCTTTTTTTAAGCAAAGCAAATCTATTTTTAAAGCCATCGGTGTGTTCAGGTGGACTGTATTAAGCTTCATCCTGAGGAATTTTAGAAAGGAAAAGCCTCGTTTTTTCTTTGCTGGAATATTTCAAGTGAAGCCCATTCTAGTTCCTAACCAGATTAGTCCTGTACACTTACATTAATCACCTTAGTAGCGGTAATACTCTACAATTCCATGGGACCTTTCAACTGAGGATCTAAAAGCTATATGTAAACAATTAAGCCTCAGTTAATTAAGCCTGGCCCACACATTCAGCCTGTGTCTAATTCTTGCAGCTTCTTCCTTTACGACATCTCCAAAATCCAGCCTTTTGTCGCTGCCCACACTACCAAAACTCCTGTCCAAGTCCTTATCATATCATACATTGAACACCACAATCTTCAGCTTTCTGACAGGTTTATAATGGTTTGCAAATTGGTTAAAATGAAGTGGAGAGAGGCTAAGACCAAAACTTTCAAACTTTGGTGCTTAAAGTTAGGTATCTACATTCATATTTAACACCGAAATAAGTAGCCTGGTTTTCAAAGGCGCTAAGTAACCATGGCTCACATCAACTTCAAAATTCATTGTCAATGTTCTGTCCAGACACCCAAAGTGGCCTCATACCTGATGGTGTTAGAGGAGAGTTAAATCACCCATATGTCAGCTAGCTAGCTGTGCAAATGCGACGTAGTGATTTACGAGCCTAGACCCCATTTTTCAAAAGTGACTTAGGAGCCTTCAAATGACTTTCACTGATAGTCTCCTAGGCACCTAGGTGCCTAATTCACTTTTGAAAATGAGACAGGAACCTAAATCACTTACATGCTTTTGAAAATTTAACTTGATAGGACAAAACTCAAATATATCTAACATGCAGGGGGCCAATGAATCTTGTACAAGTCATAACTTCACAATAACATAAATTCCCAAGTACAATTGATTATTTTTTAAAAATATTTACTTTCCCAAGGTTGTGTGATATTTTCCCCACACATAGTTGTTTAGTTTGAATCTGTTTTATAGCCTCTATCCTCTTTTCAGCAGGTATGAAGGCAAGAAAAATGTTACCCAACTTGACAAAACTTTCCTAAATCTGACTAGTTCACACTCTAGTGCCTTCATGCTTTGAAGAAGTGGGCTATAGTCCACGAAAGCTTATGCTCTAATAAATTTGTTAGTCTCTAAGGTGCCACAAGTCCTCCTGTTCTTCTTTTCATGCTTTGAGTAATCCATACTGCTGCCTGTTTTATGCTTGGTCAGAGTGGCCATGAATTCTACCAGGATGTTCATTTTAAACCCTTTATCCCTGGAAACTTGCATATTTAAGGTTAGATGAAAAGAAAGAGCATTAATGGGTCCTGTTGGTGACTTGTGGGGATTAATTAAGCACACTATATGGAATTGTTTATTACACCTCAGAGCAAAATTCTTTGTGTTAAAATGAACCTTTCAAAAGAGCGCTCATGATTAGAACCATGTAAGAGTTACTGTTCCCATAAAGATAGTTTGATAATATTAATTGGGGATCTTTTAGCCAAAAGTCTGAGCCCCAGTTCAGCAAACCACCTAAGCACATACTTAAGTGCTTTCCTGATTCGGGGCCATAAATAACACATAACTGTTTATTTTTAAGAAAGAAGGAATCAGGAGACATAGTAGTCTTTCGCCTCCTCACTACCAAACTCTAATAATGATCTTTTCAATGGATCTATGGATTATTTTGGATAAGTATCAAAATTAAAGTTGCTTCAGGTACTTAGCATTTTGACAAGCTGCCAATGCCCTTTGCACGTCATCTCTTTTGAAATGTTTGATATGAGGCTTGAACCTGCATTGTGGAATAATTTTTTCCCATGTGCCTATTTGTTCAAAGTGATTCAGAAACATGTATCAGAACATTATCTGAATCCTGTGTGTAGGGTTTTCCTTGTTAATTATATAACTTCTAAATAATAAAGGACAAGGACATTTTGCAGTCCCTTTAATCCATAAAACCAATTTACTTCCTTTAAGAGATTTAATTTAAGCACACAAGGTAGATGGGTGTTAACCTTGTGGTCCCAGCTAGGTTCCAGTTCTGTGACTGCATTCTGCCAAGCCATTTCTATAAGGAGCTGAGCTATTCTTTACTTCCTACCCTGGACTGCCGTTTCATGTTACTGCCACCATCCTAATGGCTCCTTTAGATTCCCTCCAGAGAAGGCTGCCTTATGTCAGTGTCTGAAGTGAAATAATTCCTATGTATATAGTAATTCAGTAAAGTGTTTTGAGGCTTGAGACAGGCATGACATAAATCAATAATAATAATAATAATCGTAATAATCATCTCCAAGCTACAGAGAAATATTCATATAGGTTCCAGAAAGACCCTATCCCAGCAAAAGGATATTAAGGATTACATTAACTCCTCTGGACAAAATCTCAGATTGACTAATCATGCCCTGAGGACAAGTGTTGCACCTGAACCTGAAAACATTTGGACTTGCCTACACTGTATAAACCACTTTGCACCAGTAAAAGCCCCTAATGTAAATGTGCTGTGCTGGTGTTAAAAAGTGAATTGTTTTGAACCAGAAAACTGGAATTTTTCTTTTAGAAAATGTCAAAATATTTTTTTCAAAAATATACTTTGCGTAAAAAAATTCATCGAACCTGACCCTTTAAAAGTTTCCGCTTCAACAATTCAGCGTATTTCAATAAGTAAAAGGTTTGATTGAAAAATTCCTGACCAGCTCCAGCCTACACTACATGTTTGTAACAGCAGGGCTACATTGAAGTATACGGTTGCAAACCCCCCCCCCACAAAACCATAACACCAACATAGACAAGACCTTATTCCTCACTGTTGTCCCATTGGAGCCTGGAAGTAGGACAGTCAAGAACTGTTGTCTTCAAGAAGTAATCCTTTTAATGGGTGTCACCTCTCTCTCTTATACACACTCACACTCACATGCACACATCGATTTAGTTAAATGAAAATCACTTCTCAACATCATTAACCAAAGGTAATTGTAAAGATTAATGTGAAATTCAAAAACTGCACTGGAGGAAAAGTATTGCCAGTCTGGAAAAAATGCTACTTCTCCTCTTGTTTGTTTATTTTTGTTTTAGGCCTGTTTTGTTGTTGTTTGTTTTCCCCCTACATAGATGTAATTTCGGGCATATATAATCTCCTCTTATTGCACAATGTTCCTTTATGCGTATCTCCTGTCAGAAGTACTTGAAAATCCCCAGGCATCAAGATAAACAAGAGCATGTGTAATATCAGAGGATAACCACTGAATGAACCACCAATGAAAAATTACCATGAAATATAGTCTCAATGTATACCTCTGAGTTTCGTATAGCTTATTAATTTTTAAGCAAACATATGTTAGACAAATACATTTTCTTTTGGTAAAAAGTTGTGAAGCAGCTTATGTTTTTGAGTTTAGTTATTTAGCTAACGGACCTGAAAAATTCAAGTCTGAAGCTGTAGTAGGAAACAGAGAGAGATTCTGAGTCACCCTTTAACTGAGCAATTTGAACTGCTCCACCATCTGCGTGAACGTCGATCCCAAGCTTGACAAGCTTCACAAGCTGTTTTTCCAGTAGCAGTATTTGCATTTAACAAGGTCTTACGAGGTTCTCTTGGTGGGTTTTGAAGTAGCTTCCCAGCCTGACATCGAGTTGGTGGGATGATGATTTGTTTAGCCCACCTGATCCCCTGTTACTATTTCCTTTTTATTCATTTTTTGATTAATCATTTTACACATTTCTGTTTGTCAATATTCCCCCACTACCTCCTAGGATTTCTGCCTGGTTGGACAGTATGTTTTTCTTTTATGTCAATTTTGTAGCCTTAAAGAAAAAGTCAAGCAGTCATGTTAGATCAAGATGAGGTGGAGGAGGAAGAAAGCATCTATTGCTTGCTCAATTTTTGACCAAAAAATTATTCCATACCTCCTTTCCTCCAGGGCAATTTGTGGTTCACCTCAAACATTTTTTGCATTAGTATAATTTTCTTTAATTACCTCTAAGTCACTGGTTCAGCCCAGGTCAGAAGTGAAGTGGCCAAAACTTGTTACCATCTAATGGCTGGCTTGGTGTCCTGTGTGAAGTGAGTTTACTGGGCTCAGCCCTGCTCCCAGAGAAACGGGTGTTGCTATTACCAGCACAATCGATGCAATTTGGCACCATTGTTGGAAGCCTCAGCAGAGGGAACTGAATGGATCTTGGAGACTAAAAAGCCATTTCATACTTAGAGGAGAAACCCTTTGAAAGTCAGAGTTTGGGACCCTTAGCGTGGCAGAATGGGGAAGGTTGCACAGATTGGCTTGCATTGTACTCGTTGTATAGATAAATAGAGCTT